AAATGAGACCGGGAGATTTCTTGCGCAAATACGGATGGCGTGTTTTGAGTGCTATAATTTCGGACGTTCACAATCGTCTCCACAAATTCGAAGCAAAAATTACTGACCTAAAAATCAGTGCGCTTCAATGCTACCTGAGCACGTATTCGAGGACGTGCAGCAAAGAATGAACGCCACAACCAAGGATGAAAGATTGAAGAAGATACTTGATCTCCAGGAGAAACTCCAATCACTTCTCCGTCCTACGAACCAAGGAAATTTGACCGCGACAGTTGTCAACCTATCGAAGAGGAGTCTCTCACCTGCGGAAATCACCCTCCTATCCAAGGGAATTGGATTTAATCATTCGGATGCCACACCTACCGTCTTCCTAGCTGGACTTGAGTCCATTCTACTGGCCTCCAACATTCCGGAAGACATGCGCGTGAACCGATATTCTCCGGCAAAAAAGATACCAACAAAATCTACCGGCCGAAGAAGCGCAAGCATTACGATCATTGAAGTCGGATCACAGTATTGTCGTTGTTCCCGCTGACAAGGGTGGCGCTACTGTCATCATGGACAAAATTGAATACGTTAACAAGGCGAATGAAATCTTCAGTGACATGGAGGCCTATACCCTTCTTGCTGAAGATCCGACTAAAAAGCAAGCCGCAGTCATCAAAAAGAAGGTTAATGAGCTCGCTCGTTTGAAAGTTGTCAGTCCAGATGACTCCAAGTTGATGACCCTCAGTGATACCCACGTCGCACACGCGTATGGCCTCCCAAAAGTGCACAAAGTGGATGTCCCCTGAGGATTATAATGCCACTTATCGGATCACCCACTTAAAATATAGCTAAGTGGTTATACAGTCGTCTGAAGCGGCTCACTCATGGATCGGACTACAGCATTAACAACTCTCAAGCGTTCCTCCGCAGGGTACAAGGCCTCAAAGTAAGTACTGATGAATGCTTCCTGTCCTTTGACGTCGTTGCCTTGTTTTCTTCCATACAACACGATTTGGCAATTGAATGCGTAACCCAACGCCTACTGAACAATCCTATTGAGATCCCAACGCAGCATGTTATAGAACTGCTAAGTCTTTGCCTTGGGAACTATTGTCAATTTGATAATAGGTACTACCAACAGGTAAAGGGAACCCCGATGGGCTCACCAATATCAGGACTGCTCGCCGAACTAGTTTTGCAGCGACTAGAAGAGAGAGTTTTCCAAACTATCAAGCCTAAACTATGGCTTCGTTACGTTGATGACACCTTTGTCATAATAAAGAAGTGCGAAGTCGAACGGCTTCACCAGAGACTGAACGAGGTCTTCCCAGCCATACAGTTTACCCGCGAAGAGGCAATTGGAGACAGCTTGCCGTTTCTGGACGTGAGGATACAGAAGTTTAGCATGGTATCCTGGCAGCAAGCGTCCATAGGAGAGACTCTAACTCTGAGATTATCCTCAACTATGGAAGCAACCACCCTGCAGCTCACAAAAGAAGCTGCGTCCGAACTCTGTTCCACCGGGCCTACCGTTATTGTAACAACAACGATCTCCTGAACAAAGAGCTTGCTCACCTGTATCGGTTCTTCCGCTCTAACGGATATCCGATCAGTTTTGTAAAGAACTGTCTCAGGCACCAGACACAGTCGCAAGACCCCACCGCTAACGGAGACATTGTGACGCGAAAATTCTACTATGAGCCCCAAGGCACAACGGAACGGGCATGTTTTATAACCTACCTGATCGCTGAGCGCCCACTGTCAAATATATATATGTATGAATTTGAAAACAGGCATCCCAAGAATCATAATTCAAAAGAAATAAGCCCTTTGGGAAAGATAAACAAGTTTTATTGTAAATTTTCGATCTTGGTTCCCAAAGTCGTCTTCAGACGTGAAGTAAGCGTGCAAAACAGTTAAAATTTAAATACGCCGAAAAGATCGATTTTGCCTTGTCACTCCTGCTGGTGTAATGTTCTGATTGGCTAACGCCTTTTCCATTTTTCCTTGAGGTTGCTGTACACCGTATCTAATTCTACGTGTCGATTGATGCATGCGCTATCAGAATGGATGGCCACTAAAAATTCACGGTCCTTTTTGGATGAGCAGACACCTACAATGCGAGTCCTGTCCCAGGCGAATTTGTGACCCGTTTCCAACGTATGCATGGCAACTTGGGACAAGTGGTCGCGCTTTTTACGGCCAACTGATGTTCGTGTATTCGCGTAGAGGCCGATTTCCCAGTTTGACCACAGTGAACTGCATTACAGGTGTTGCATGGTATTGTATGTATATCAATATGCATGAAACTTTGAAACGCTCGTCCGTTGTCCTGTCGGTTGAGATAAAGAATACTAACAATCATTGGGAGAACGTTCTTCTTATCTGCTTCGGCGGGAATACAGTGTCGCAATACTTAGAATTGTCTATTCCCCCACCAGCCTGTCTTACGGGCGGACTACTACTACTACTACTACTACTACCACTAATACCACTACTACTACTACCACCACCACTACTACTGCTACTACTACCACTACTACCGCTGTTACTACTAATACTACTACCACTGGCGGGAATACAGTGTCGCAACACTGAAGAAAACTTTTTCCCCCGTCTACCACCACTGATACGGCGAATACTACTAATAATCCTACTATTAGTACTACTACTACCACCGCCACCACGGCTGCCAATGCTACTCTACCAACGCTCACAGTATGGGTAACTAACTGCAATAATACTAGCATCAGTAACGGAGTGTTGCGACACTGGTATCCAACCTCTGCTTCTTATCTGTAGATTATATATCGCACGTAAATCCGTATTCGTCGACCTGTTAACCAGCTTAGAATAAATAAGACCTGAATATATGTAGCAATTGCCCCACAACAGGCAGTTGACAAGTTAACAAAACGGCCAATATAAACGATTTCGTGTTTAACGATTTTCCGTCTTTTCAGAGCTGTCTGAAAGAAGTATTCCAGGCCATTGAACTTGTAAATGTACTAAAAAAGGTAAATACACCTTTATCAACATTTCTAATTGGTCAGGAGAATTACGCAAGCTCGGCATAGACAAATGCTTTGTGAAGAACGGTGTTCAAGAAGAAACTGCGACGGCCTGGTAAATCGCAGAAACATCTTACTCCTCTTCAGTCCGATTATTTCGAAGTGTACCACCGCTCCGCAGCTAATGATATTTGGTAAGTGCAGTAGTAGCAGACAATAGCGATGACACGATATACTGAAATGGGTAAAAGAACTCACAGTGATCATTCCCTTCCATCTCCAATAGTGTTAATTAAAATTTGTTTGAAAAGCACTTTCCTTTGTGACTTAAAAATCCTTAGACATAGGAGAACCTAAACTCCCAAGTCCAAGGGCATTAGCGTGTCTGGCGAATGGTCGAGCCAATCAACAATCTGGTTAAACCGTTAATCTGACCCAGAGCTCCATTAAATAATCACCTATACCTGAGCCAATCTTGTACCGAGTTAGTGCAGATGAAAGAGGTAGGTAGTTGGGTCTATTCGGAGTTTTTGTCTTGGGAACTGCTCTAGGAGTTTCGAATTTTGGACGGCACAAGGCACGACGAAGACAGACTTGACTGGCCACACAACGTAAACTTAACAACCTTTAATATCTGTAAACTTCGGGATGTTCGAACTCCTAAAACCGGTGGGCTAACGAGTTCTCCGACATTCAAGCCGTAATTTGTTTCTCTCCACTTACATAAAAAGCATGTTTTCTTATCGTTTTAGCCTATTATGGGTTCCGATTTTGGTGTTTCAGGTTAATTCTATAGCTGTAGCATACAATAAATTTCGGACGATGTGTTTTCTTCATGTATGTAGCGCTCCTAACAAATTAATAAGGGTCTAAAATATATACATCTTGCTTTAAATGTATCGTTTTAACATTCTGTAGTCGACTAGATTTGGCCAGTAAATTAGGCTTGAAGTAGTAGGGTGGCGCGGTTAGTATGTTCATGATTGTGCTTGTGGCTACAACCACAACGAGAGATGGGAAACGGACAAGCCTCAGGAAATTAAATGAAACAAAAGGGCGCAATAAGGTGGCAAACATTTCATAAGAAAACGTCCGGTTACTGATGAAACTTAAAAGAACAGAATGGGACAATTGGAGTAAATTTACCTGGGTCAACTAGCATCCAATACCCGATCCACTGTCCTGAAGTAAATCCCAGATAAAAGTAGAAGAAACCGATGGACGAAAATATTGCACTGATGCTGCACAGAATTCCAGTAATTCTTCGAAGACTGGCATCGGATAGTGAGTCCCTCTAGGGAAACGGTAATTTTTCATACAAGATTGCGAGGAGTCAACATTGACAGAAGTATCGATAAAGGAACACTTACAAGTTTTTCTCCATAGATTGTATTGTGATAAGTCCATTTAAAAAAGCGCTCCAGTAGGATCTGAATCGTGTTTATCCCCACCCAGACAGCTAAATTTGAAAAACGGAGGGAAGACGTTTTTAGAACGAAGGATGAAATTCATTCAAACTTGAGCATGTAATGTAGGGCCGTCTACCGACCTAAGGACCAGTCTGCAATACTCTCTCCTTTTAATTGGGTCATTGCGGCATCGCGATATCTTTAATTGAATTTCGATTCGTGTGTGTAGGGACCAGCACGCCTGTGGAGGATACATTTGTGGATTTAGTCCCTGGAAGCGTGTCTCCGTCTGTTCTAACTTTTTCTTGCCTTTGGAGCCTCGTGGGTATCAGATGAGGGAGTTAGGCAGATGCAGCGCATGTACCACTCATTATAAGTCAATAAAAGTTCAAGTCACCACTTCCCAATCGAGATAGTTGTGATCGTCGTCGGTTATGTGGATAGTGGCTATGATGGCAAAGACGGTGGAAGGGAAAGTGGTAGGTATGCTAGCATCAAAGACGAATTAAAATTTTTCAACCTCATTTCGGAAAAAACGTGTAGCATACCGTTCTGCGAGTTGCAAGAATGAAAAATAAGCACGAAGAGGAAACAAAGAATTCCTCCTTGTAGGCGCTGAACAAGTGACACTGGATGATGCGGAGGGATAGCAAGCGACACTGTCTTCTTCCGAACAGTTCGTTCAGTGGGTTTTAGCCAGGGTAAATAGATGTACCTGAAAAAGAGAAGTCTTTGACAACATGACTGCGAGGAAACAAGAACGAAAAGGAGGCGGTAGCTGGGATGTGTTCGGTTTGGGTCTGGACAGTCAAACAGCGACTAAGGGTCGCAAACACCACAACTAGCAATGCGATGGTAAACTGCAATTGGCCGGCGGCGATGCTATTGCCCGGCTGTTCATGAGCCTGACTCCGGGGGGTTGTGTTTCCGGGCCGTGGGGATAATCACACGACAAAAAAACAGCTGCATGGGACGCGACTCTGTGACCCTGTAACGCAACCTCGATTGGGTCGTTTGAATGAGAAAACACTTTTTGGCTCGCGGACCTAGAATGGAGATGACGTAACCGCGTGCTGGTGAAGATGGCCGGCGTCCCTTCCTCTCACTTACCCCGACCCCTTTTCCTGCAACGTACCGTGACGCTTGTATCGTTCGCTTTCTCTCTCAACATCGTCACCTCCCTCGGCCCTCCCCTGCAGTTACCCACAGCACTGCGTTCGCCACCGGTTAACTAGCTGGCATGTCGGCATCGCCCCTCCACCCAGACAGGTTATTCCACAGTTGTAACTCGTTCTGCTTGTACTATTTACTGTTATTATAAACCTTTCCAATTCCCATCTTTGCCTATTATATCTTCTCGCCCACTTGACGTTTCTTCTTCCTTTATCTGCGGATGAGTATAGTGACTTACCAACGGCCCTATTCAGATCAACTTTAGCCAGGATCTCTTTCCAGTGCTTCGCTACTTGGGTGTGTGCTACCCTTGACGTCCTCGACCGCTACAAGGTGAGCCATCGGGGCGCAGATCGCAGCGGTCAGCCCTTAGTTCCGCTTATAGTGAATATGACAAAATGCGGGTCAACAAATGATGCGGGTGTTAAGTTTGCCGCAAATCTTATACTCAGCCTATCCCAGCCAGCCGAAATCAGGCCGTGCGTTTTTAGAGGCAGTAACCTGGAGATGAGGACCTATAGTGTGTAACTCAAACATACAATCACCATTCTATGCTGGGAACGCTGTTCCAGGTTAAAGCAGACAGGTTACTCCACAGTTGTAACTCGTTCCACTTGTACTATTAACTGTTATTATAAACCTTTCCAATTTCCATCTTTGTCCATTATATCTTCTCGACCACTTGACGTTCCTTCTTCCTTTATGTGCGGATGTGTATCGTGACTTGCTGACGACCTTATTCAGATCAACGTTAGCCAGGATCTCTTTCCAGTGGCTCGTTACTTGGAGGTGTGCTACCCTTGATGTCCTCGACCGTTACAACCCGACCAATTGATTTTCCCGCTGTCCACTTACCCTTGAGAAACTACCTAGTAGGCGACCAACCCCATCGGGAAATCAGTGGGAACGTGTGGCCGCCAGGACTGCGAAAACGAAGTGAAAGGCCGTGCCGGCAGCACTGGAACCGGTGTGAATGACGCCACCGGGCTTCAGCAGTCAGCAAACAATCAACATAGGCACCTTCACCGGACGCGGTAGCGTCGGTGTCCTGCCAGCCTTATAGCGTGGACTGAGAGTTAGGCTCACCAAACTGATGATGAAAGGCTACGTTACAGCTTGAAAAGTTTAATCACCATGCAAAATGTCCCACTGATAATTCCTTTTTCGGAACCAAACCTTTTAGAGAGGGTCACGGATCTTGTTAGGTTTACGTCTTAATCGTCTTTTATTTATGTGGTGTTATCCACTGAGAAGGCGCATCTTATAGAATAGACCGACGGGAGTCAACAGATACACATCCCTCAATAACATCCAAAATACATTCATTGCAAAGTTCTTACCACTTCAGAAAGTTGTACAGGCCGCGATCAAATTTCCTAGTAAAGAGTAGGAGAAAACGAGATAGTTAATCAGTTTGTATGAAAAAATCCAATGATAGATTCTGACTTCAAACACTAATTATTCCATCTCAGACGCAGTGCAAAGTAGGCTTATAATTCGGACGGACATGAACATTGCACTTGATAACATGACTAAAATTTGACCTAACTTGTAATACTTAATAGCCAAGATACTCTTTATACATTCAACTTATTACATGCAGGAACCACATCAAGAAAGTTCCACAGACTAAGGGTAGGGTAATCTTGAGAGTCAGAAAAAATACGGTGTATTGCTTACTGAGCCCCAACTGCTCGGAAGTGGAGCACCCGTCGCTAAGTCGCGGATGCCGGCGATTCGACCCAACAAGGCAGCAAACGTTTTCTCCTTGAGACGTTCTGTCTTAATAAATATGTTAATTAAGAACCCCGTAGGGTAGGGCTGAAAAGTCCACAGCCACTAGAATGTAATGCTTGCGACATTTGCATTTTTCGCAGGTATAGCCATTTTCAAGAATCCAGACTTCTTCCCACTTCCCATCGAATTGGGATGCAGATGGATACAGCTTCGGTCGTAATATTCGGATGTTATGTGGCCCAATCTTAAAGTTTATCTGAGCTGTGGGGATACAGCTCCATCCGGTAAGTGAGGACTCATGAGTGACTATAAGGAATGGTACTAGAGTTGAGGAAAAATAATTTATAAAGCATCCACAGAAGACGCTTCACAGAGCGGAGTCACAAAATCATCAGTTGAGACTTACCGCCACATCTCAGAAAAGAGAAAGACATGAGTGGGACAGGGTGGCCCATCGGGTACGAGGCAAGTGAAGACGTTCGATGCCACCGGACTGTGGCTTCGGGCCATCAAGTAGACTTGGACATCTGATAGAAGTCGTGGCCAGCCGTAGAGCTGCATATAAGCGAAGAAGAACTGCAGGCCAATGAGGTAGACTGCCCCACCAAGGGCAGAGCGGTCCGTTTCTAGGTGTGGGCTAGCGTGAAATCTACCCGACACAGAGGAACCCAGCGCTGGTGGAGGTGGCGGCGGCGGTGGAACGCCGGCGGCGGGTTGTGTGGCTAGAAAGAGCACGGCATTCGGGTACACAATGTGAAGAATTGTCTCCCAGACGAAAAGCCAGAGGAGCAGGCGAATCGCACGCAAAGTGAGGGACCGAGCGCACAGTGGCCGTTGCGTCAAACCACCCCTAAAGTTGGGTGAGATCTCAATGAAGGCTGATATTTCAACCTAGTGAGAGAGGAGGAGAGTGAAGATTGAGAGCACTGATAAGGGTAGTTTGGGACTTTAGAAACCCGGTATTTGCATAGACACCAAAATTTGAGGAAGACCCTTTAGAATGTCATCAGTCAGATGAAATGTTATTTAGCCAAGGGGTTCATGATAAATCTCTAATAAATAAATACGTCATGCGGTCTTCAGGTTACACTAAAGACGGTCCAGCGCTAAAACATTGTCAAACGTCTCTGTTAAGGAGGCTTGTATGTGGAATAGCCTTTAACTGGAATCACGTTGAACAAAGCGGAAACTGCGAAGGTGAGCAGATCTGATGGCGTTGTAGTGACCCTATTATACTCCCTGAGGCTCGTGGCCTACCGTCTTCATTACATGGGTAACACTATTCGCCTCGGCCCTTAAACGGCTCAAAGTCACCCAATTTCATCCTAAAGACTCATCCTGCAAGGCCTCTCCAACGTACCGACCCACTGTCATTCAACTGTTTGCGGCTCGGACATACAGTTGGTGACCTATCTCATGAAAGGTCACGAACTGTGAGCTTAAATCACTGTAGCGCAAGATACGTCCACCCCGCACCCACGAAAGTTATATTGCGTTAAGTATACGACCGAGTTTCAAAACATGGCACAGTTTGGTTTATAAATTATTATTTATTGACTAAGTAATAATTTATTTTAGGAAAAACCACCAAATCAAAAATCAACTCTGTGACAAGTCAACTATTCAAGGCCTAGAATAACTGTCATAAAACGAAAAAATGATAAAAATCAGTAGCAAATACAACGTATTAATATTTTGCCGATTGTCCTTTGGTTTTTAAATTTACCGTACGGCTGTAGGTGTATGCGGATAGTCACAGCCGTCAATACCCCAATCGAACCCACCGTTCGCTGGGTAATGCAAAACGCACTCTTAAACACATAACAGTCCCAACCTAGCTCCAATGCATACAAAACTGGGATTGATACCACTGTCTCACTCTTTCCCAGGCGTGATATAAAACGATCAGAAAACGCTTCGGCCTTGAAAACGGCCACTAAGGCCAAAGACACCGACTCCAGGTTCCGTAAACGACAAACCCGTCATTCCACTTAGAGTATTCATTATTTTACTCATTTGGTAGAAAATTACGTCTTCTCCAAACTTTATACTTGAAAGAAGGATATAATTCGGTTTCAAAAGAGCTTTTCATTGTGAGATTTTTAAGACCATCAAATGCCCGTGTATAAAACACAATGTCTCGGCATTTACTAAGATTGTTTGTGCAGTTTACAATATGGCTCAAGTCCACTGAAAAATTTATGAACCCCTATACGGTCTCCCCTTAATAACGTGGAGAAGTGTATGATTTTCCGTAAACGGAAAACAGAAAGTTTGTGGTTTGGAAACTCTGAATGCAGGTGTAACGGTACGTCGGGTTTAAAATTATTCGGGAATTGGAAAATTTTTTTCAAAACCGAATTACACCGTTCCTTCGAGTATAAACTTTTAAGAAGACGTAATTTTCTACCGAATGAGTAAGGGAATGAATATTTTATGCATGTTTTCCATGAAATATGGTTGAATTTTTAAGGACATCGAAAATCAATGAGCAAAATGTATGCTATCTAAGTAGTCATTTTTTACAGAGAGTGGTTCTTGAATGTGGCCGGAAAGACATTAGTTTGAAAACCAGCATCCCGAGGTAACTGAATTAGTATATAAGTTATGCTGCATGATGATTGATTTTAAAACCCTACTTAAGCAATCTTTAAGAAACGAAAACGCATTTCAGGATTTCGGTCAACATTTCATGAGTCAGTACGCCTACTGTAACTTAGTTCTCCTAAAAAGAAAAGACACAAAGTTCATCTACACAGCAAAATGATGCAGCAGAAAGTCCACCTTCTTGAAGTACCATGCTCAAGGGATGCAAATTTATATAGCTATTGGCTTAGCAGCCCATATGACTCTTCTGGTAGACACGGTGTAGCTATCGCGCTATCGCGCCAAGTGAACCGTGTACAGCTAAAGAGAGAAAAACCAAGTGACCGATTGGCCTATTTACGGCAGAAGGGTCACCCTACGAAAATCTCCGTCGTCTCCGTGAGGACATCAACGTTACCTGACGACCAGCGTGGCAAAGAAGCTTTCTTCTGGCAACTGCAAGACTTTGTTGAAAGTGTACCTAGTAGAGATACACTGGGTGTCGCCGGCGCCTGGAACACTCTGAATGTCCCAGGTGAATCTTTAAACAGTCATCTCATTGGCCGGTTTAGTCTTAGTTCTCTATGCAACAGGGGTGAAAAGATGTGCCTTGCTGGTGAGGGCTGGTTAACTGTCACTAAACCGCGCTTCTGCTATCACCGAAAACATCTGCTGACCTAGTATTCACGTGATAGTCGTTCGGCCAGCCACAATCATTACAATCTATTTAGTTCATAATTGCACAGTGGCGCTCATAAAAATAGATTTATGTGCGTTGACCAAACTGGTAACATCCACTGACCGGATCATGTATTTGCTCGCACAGACCTGAAAGTTGACCTCTCATTCATCTTCAACTTTTAACGTGCAGGATGCAGTGATATTGCACAATTACGGCAACCCAGTACCACCAGCCCTCGCAGCCTGGTGTGCGCTGTCAATCCTCTGATCCCTGATTCCCTGCGATGGATGTGCTTGCGCTCCTGCTGGGTATACAGGTCGTGTGCATGGCTGCCTAGTGACTTTGTCCGAACGGGGTATGGCGGCATGCCTGGGGGCGGCCGCGGCCGCACCAACCGTCGTCCTTAGTCAGTGCGTATTGTGGACCAGGGTTGTTTCCAGGAGATCAGCTGTAGGCACTCGCCGCATTAATTTGGGGTCTGAGCAGTTCCCCCTTTTCTTTTCTTGGTGTATAAAATCCTTTTCTAGTGTTTGTTGTGGACCAGAATGTGTGATGGTACGCCTAGGTGCGAATCCGGACGCGCCCAGCCACCTGCGCTCTCTTCCGCCTTCGTTCTTCTCTAACTGTATCTTGACATCGGGCTTAGGCAGGGGAGGAGGAGAGAGCGCGGCAGGTTCTGTGCAAGTCCATAATCACCATAAACTAATTCACGCGCAAGTCCCCGTGCCTGCTTCTATCTTGCTGCGGTTCACACGGTGGACGTCGTCAGCAACGAGGACCGAACATACTGTTGACATCCTGACTAAGGTCGAGCGCCGGCGTGGGAGCTTCGGTCAACCTTCTCGGCTTCGATTATCAACACAATACCCTCTCTCTATCCGCTGCGGAGATCTGTCCGTCCCTTGTGAGACCCCCCTCCTCGATTACGTCCAAAGCTCGCGCCCGAAAGGCGTCATTTTCGCTGATGTCAATAGGTCTTGTATCGACAATGATATACCGAGTTCATCGGATGAATTAGTCAGCATGAGGAAATGAAGCTCTTCCTAATGACTAAGAGCTAGGGCAAAGTGAGAAAACTGCCACGGTACAAGTCTGACTGGCATTTCTGTAAGGGAGTTTGCCACTGTGGTTCAGATTGGGCGTGGCTTTCGGATGAAACCCAGACACATCGTGTTCCGAGTTCGATATTGATGCCCGACCGGATATTCACATAACGGCACATTCTTAAATTCAGTCATCACTATCAGTAATAGATCGACGTCTACCTTGTTGACATCAACGTCATGATAGCCTGTGATTATTGTGAATCCCTGTGGCAGACAATAGAACCAAACGGTCTGCCGCCGAAAAGCACACCTACTACCTGCTACTGCTGCACCAATGCGCGAGTTCGGCTACAAAACAAACCCTTTCAGCCGTTCACATTTAGCCTAAGGTTCGACAAGCCTGTCTTGTGTGACCCATTGTGTTCAACTACGCCATTGGCTGGATTCCCGGAAAGGCCGTAGGCGTATTTGTGATGCCGACTTCACATATGGGCCCCAAATGACTGACCTTAACTATGCTGGGGATGCCACTCTGCTAGGTTCAACCTATAATAATCTGTAGAATGAATTGTCGCCAGCGAATGCTAAGCTGTGCGCTTGGAGGACAAGCGCAAACCGGAGATGTTTGGCCACGGTTTGCTCAGAACCATCCTTCGAGTGAAATACGAGACATGCCGTAATCTTTGCGATAACATCAAGAGGATATCTCAGCTCATTCAATAAAAACGACTGAGGTGGTTTAGGCACTTTCCTTGTCGCCCCCCTCCGTGGGCTTAGTGTCGCTGGCCTCGATCGGACGCCATTGTCCAACTTGGTGAGTGGAAGGGGATGTCAAATCAAAACCCAACACGGCACAGTTTGTCAAGCCGTAGAAGGGGTTCTTGGACCTACGCTATTTGGTATTCGTCGCTGGAGGACAGAATGAGTGTGGCTCCCTAGATCCGCTGCCGCAGATCGTCAGGTGAAGTGTAGCATAATCCATTATATCAACGAGGCCACCTCTGGCATGATAATAGTCATGCCAAGTGATAATTCGACCATCACAACCGGTGAGGCGCACCGTCTGCCCACGCCAAAGTGGCCGCAGGGACGGCAACTTGCGCGCAACTTAGTTTATAGTAGTGGCAGACCTGAGCCCCATCTGCCAAACAATCTCTTCCCTCACACGACTGGTCCCGCTGACAAGACAAAGTTAGGACGACTGGAAGTGGAATAGGAAGGCCGTTGTTGGAAAAGTTGAACTTCGCATCTGCAGGTGTCATACACGCCTGGTCCGCGGGCGGTGGGACAGGCTGTCATAGAAACAAATATTTGGCTTGTATCTCAGCCATAAAAGCCACATTAAGAAGGACCCATTGCGGCAAGGGTATGGTTTATGGCTGGGGTTTCTTACCCCGGAAAGCTTTTGTGTTGAGCAAAAGAGCTGAACATCTAAGAACTTCATGGTTTCACAAATTTCGATCCTCTAAATTGTCGCCAATTAAAAGGGGGCACTATTTTCAACATTTCATTATAATAGTAAATGAATGTAGTCCCCTTTTGCATGCATTGTCAAAAAGGTATTGTACTGCCGTATTTTTACTCGATGAGTACCCTAAAGCATTTTAACCACCCTCACGCAACAGCCGCCGCGAGATCTTATTTCTTTCTTTGACATATACAAATAAATATCGGCAGTTATTTTCTTTTACCATAATTGCTCTCCGTCGTACGTAGCCACGGCCATAAACCATACCCTTACCACCAGCTCGATTGCTGAGAAAGTACTGCAGTGCCTGAAGGTACTGGTTTTTCACCACTATCAACCACGGTTGTGGGTACGATGCGTAGACGGCACAATTATGACCAGCAATCGAGAAAAGATTTGAGAATTCGTGCAAAATCTGGACTTGATCTTCCTGAACATTGACGTTACAATAGAGGAAGAAGGAGATGTGTCCGTTTACGGAAAAGGCGACAGAAAACCCAAAATGACGGGTACAGGAAGACGACGAATACCTCTCGTATCTTAAGTTTCCGTGGCAACCACCTCCTTTCACTCAAACGCAGCTGTGAGGTCACTCTGACAGTTCGACCGCCGTTTCTGACGATGTTTACCGTATGCCTCACAGAAGGGTAAACACAGAGACGACGACTTGCGCGTGAGTTGGTTTATAATGATAGCAAACCTGTTCAGCATTTACCGCACTCTCCCCTCCCCCTTACCTGGGTCCGGTATCACTACAGAGTCAAGAAGTCCGGAGGCAATGGAGTTTGCAGGTGGCTGGCGCGGCGAAAACCCGCACTTAACCGCGTACCACCACACCGGTTTGGATCCCACAGAGTGGGAGTGCCACATCGGTCTCATTAAGAGGGAGCCATTGCAGCCTGACTCTCAGTCCACCCAGTTCGCCACTCCACACAAACACACACTGGGTTAACTGCCAGGTCAGAGTTATCCCGTTAGTTGGCAGTCTTTCAAGCCACGTCTCTTACCGCTCTGTGATAGTTTAAACGCATCTGGTTGGCTATAGTGAAGTATATGCGTTGAGATCATCGACCTCACCCTCTCCTTTGCACCACTCGATTTCCCAATTAAGGCTGAGATTGGGCGCAGTGACTGACAGAACTAAAATCCTTCCGTCTGCGCGTGCTGCACACACACACGGCCTGGTCCCCAGAAGGGGTGGACTGCTTGGCTCCCACCCTGCCACCGTGTGGGAACACACTACGCTGACGACAATAAAACTGAGATTCAGATTCTGCGGTCGCTCTTCACAGGTAACGGATATTCTGGCAGATTTGTCGAAGCAAAGCAAACCGATATGGCAGTCCAAAACCGACTAACTGGCGCGCCCTGCTTATATTGCCGGTGTGTTCCATAATTCCGCAGACTGAGTCGCTCACAGTCCGGAAGCGACAATCCGCCGGCGGCTCATGCATTCTAAGGACCCAAGATCCGTCAATCAAAAATCTGCTGTCATTTAGAAGATAGAATCCAACTGTGGCCAAGCCAATAATGTTGATAAAACCGGCTAGCAGGTCCGCATGAGACTCTACGAAGACAAGTTCACTGCCAGTCGGAAAGATACGTTTTCTTTTGAAGTCACCCACTCGTCCTAGTCAGGGCGCAACTTCGATTTCAACTGCATTTGAATTCTCAGCCAGGCGGATTACCGTCCAGTTCTCGATCTCGTGTTT